CTCGCTTATCTGGCGGAAATAATTTTTCACCGCAGGAGAGCTTCTAAAAAAAATGGCTGGAAGCAAAGCCGACAGGAGCATTTCCGAGGCCCGCTGGTATTTGGGAAAATTATCGCGAGTTCATTAGAACCCGCGAGCTTCCGATGACTATACCACGAGCGTGTAAGCTTTTAATGAGCGGCTGGCCAGTTTCTTTAGGCTACCGATACCGGACCTCATTGTGCTGCGTGTGGCTCCCGCCGAGCATTGCCCGTTTCTTGCCGTTTTGTTCCACGGAGCCGTTTGCCTATTGCTAATTGCGGTTGTTTTTTGTTGTTGTTGCTTTATTTAATTCGGATGATGATCGGAAATTCTCAGCTGCGTTCGCTTTTCTTTCTTCCTATTTCCCCCCTTACGTATACGTCTGTCTGCACTGTGCTCGGTCGCTGCTATCGCACTTCATTCATTTTAATTGACACCATGAAAAGGGCGAAGTTCGTACCGAGTGTGCACTTTCCAAATTCATGAAGACCGTTCTCCGATCTGGTGCGCTTTAGTCTGGGGCTGAGATGAAATTCTGAAGCGTGGAACGAGGAACCGCTGGCAGACTCCCGCGCCTCGTATCGTGATGAGGCCACTTTTCAAAGGGGCGCACGTGCCCTGCCGTGGAGGTGTAGTGGTACTCGGCTGCTGACCCGCAGGTCGCGGGATCGAATCCCGGCTGCAGCGGCTGCATTTCCGATGCAGGCGGAAATGTTGTAGGCCCGGCCGTGTGCTCAGAATTGTGTGCACGTTGAAGAACCTTAGGTGGTCGAAATTTCCGGAGCCCTCCAGTCTCTCATAATCATATCGTGGTTTTGGGACGTTAAACCCCACATATAAAATCAATCATCAATCAAAGGGGTGCACGTTATTATTGGGGTTTGATTGGGCAGGTGCCTTATTGTAAAAGCCTTGTGCCCAGGGAGCAGAAACTCTTCTACACTTTGGAGAAGTATTCATATACTTTAAAATTTGTTCTTACCTTATGTGCCTCGCTTCTCGGTTTTCTGGGAATGAAGGCGTCAGTTCTGACGGGTGGTCTCAACATGCCAGTGTAATAATGTGGGTTTTCGTGTGACATGAACCTAACGTCACCTAACTTGACGGTGAAGTTTGCGAACATTGTAATATACGTAGGTACATATACGCTTTTCGAGAGGTGTTCTACGCATACATACGCGTAGGTTGGCGTTCGAGAGGCTTTCTGATTGATATATGGGGTTTAACGTCCCAAAACCACCATATGATTATGAGAGACGCCGTAGTGGAGGGCTCCGGAAATTTCGACCACCTGGGGTTCTTTAACGTGCACCCAAATCTGGGCACACGGGCCTACAACATTTCCGCCTCCATCTAAAATGCAGCCGCCGCAGCCGGGATTTGATCCCGCGACCTGCGGGTCAACAGCCGAGTACCTAAGCCACTATACCACCGCGGCGGGGCTCGAGAGGCTTTCTATGCATTCAAGTTTTAGGGCTTTGGGTTCGCCGAGAACGTGGCGTGTAATATTCGCGCAGGTTTCAAAGTGATAATTATAGGCGAGCACTGCGCGGGCGGTTCTTGCCCTGCAAGCATTGTTCAATCCATCATCGTTTCAGCATTGTGCGCAGAAAACGATTGCCATTACCCGTTCGCCAGTCTTTCGTGTATTTTTTCTTTGTGTTCGTGCCATTGTAAATTGACCATTGATGTAATAATCCACGGGTAACTAAAGAATTAAGGGAAACACACATGCGCGCATGCGTACGCGCGCACTTTCTTTTTTAACCCACGTACTAGGCTACTTTATATTTATGACGCAGTATAAATCCTCTATTGTTCTAAAGGATACATACGAGGATGGATCCTCTAAAACAATAACGAGTTTGGTTGGCCACACGACTGTAAATCGCCGTTTTAAGTAATATATCGCGGCCGCATTTCTTCCTGGTGGCTTTCTAGCCGCGTAAGAAGGTTCGACACGATTGTCAGCTGCTTCCCAATGTGCGCTTCACCGCCTGCAGGCGAGAAAGAGTGACGCTTTAATAAATATATAGCGAACTTATATGAAAACTAGGCACGTATAGTGATTTCCCATTTCAGCTCGCGACAGTGAGCGGAGGGAGGAGTCGTCGTCGTTTTCCTGTCTTGGAGGCGTCGAAGCTTTTATGGGCACCTCGGTGGCGCCCTCTAGAATACACTTAGCTGCGCGCAAAGCGCGCAGTGCTTTAAAATCTTCGAGCTTTGAGAGGCACTTTGTCTCTATTCTTGGCGCTTCTTAATGTCTGTTCTCTTTTTTTTTTCCTCGGACAGAAAAATTGTGGCTTTAAGTGGTTCTCGCGTGCATAGTTGCGTGGAATCTCCGTTCCGGAGATTATTCCCGCGCTCTTCCTTCTTCTCGGGACTCCGCCTCCCTCGCAGCGTTCTCGTGGCCAGGGTGCAAACCCTGGCGCGACGGTGTTCAGTCGTTTAGCAGACGCACCGCCGCTGTCCTGCTCAAGTCAGGCTAATGGGACTTAACGAGCGCAGACGCCATTACCGCTGTCCGGGGGCTTTCTGGCCTTCTCTTATTCTGTGCACGCCTGTGCGAAATCGTTCGCTCCCCCCCCCCCCCCCCCAGCGTTTTCTGTCAACCACGTGTCTTTTCTTCGCTTCTTTCCTTCGCGTCGCATTCCTGTGGAAGAGCGGCCGTATCAAGTGCGCTAAGTCTTATTGCCTCTATTGTATAGTGTGTGCTAGTGTTAGCGAGTTTGTGCGAACCTTTTGTGTTTTTCTTTTTTTTTTCATTGTGCCGTCGTCTTGTATTTTTTTTTTTTCGTGTCAGTGAGTGAAATATCTTTCTGTTAAGCATGCATACCGTTATCTCTCTCTTTGTTCTCCATGGAAAAAAGGAGAAGTGGACTGACTGGGGTTACACTGCATGTCGACCCACATTTTTTTTTTTTCGCCCACTCTTTCTTTCTCGCTTTCAATGATTCATTCAATCGCGCTGCTAGTCGTTAGTCGTGGTTTCCTGCCAGCAGCGACTGCAATGCGAGCCTTCATGATGCGCCGTATCGTGGTTAATTGCCCGCGGTGGTGGAGCAGTGGTTTAAGCGTTTTGATTCCGGCCGTGGCAGTCGCATTTCGACAGGGACGAAATTTTACACGCACGTGTGCTGCGTGAAGGCAATGCACTGTACGAACACCAGATGGTTGAAACTTCCGGGACACTCCACAACGGCATTTCTCATAATGGTGTGATTCTGAAGTGTAAAACACAGTGTAATATTATTATTATTAATATTATTATTATTATTATTATTTATTCGTGTTCATGTTTCCCGCGAATCACGCAACAGAAGTGGGACTTTTGCAGGATGGCGTGTCTATACACGTGCACTATCGCATATTCCTTTCAGCCAACATCATGATGCTCAGGTTATGCAGAAGTATAGCTGATTTTTTTTCGTATATGTATAAAGAAGAGTATTTCTGTCTGCAAAAGGTTTTTTTTTTGGGGGGGGGGGGGGGGGCAGGTTTGACAGAACATTTTTTCTTGATTACTTTAACCCTTGAGCACTTTCATTAGCGTAGCCCCAGGTTTTTTAACCTATCGACACAGACTTTCACCGCCTGGAGGTTGAACCAGTTAATGAAAAGAGCTTTGATTTTTTCATGGCTTTGGTTGAGAAGAAAGGTGCTACTGTGGTGCTGCTGCATTGACTGTTTCCTTTCTTTTCTAATTATAGTGTGGTTTGTTGACGCCTTGTAATGTAACGATGTCATCTGTCTTGTTAATGGGTCTACCACTACTGTCTTTACCATGTGCAACCACGCGGCCATTTTCCAAATGTCACTAAATAGTACTTAGAAAACTCATATGTGATAGTATGACCTTCTCGTGCTTAAATATTGGATCACTGCCTGCACGTCGCAACTGGCTTCATGAAAGGAAGAATTCCGCGACCGTTGTCGTCTGCATTCGCCGCCAACTCAAGAACTTTATTATACATGGTCCATCGTGTGTATTTTGTTTTTGTTTAACCCTCCGACATTCCAATATAATCAAAGTGCACTTACTTTTTGAACATGCTTCGTATATTCCGCGGTATACGTTACCGTCCGAGCGTCTGCGAAACACCCGTTGTAGCCATAAATTGCCAACATTGACAGTAACGGCGGGCTCCCCTACTTTCCGCGCAACTGTATAATGTGCATCCCAGTTTTTAGCGGCAGCTATATAAATCACAACGCTTAACTTTGTGCGTGCTCTTGTTTATTTTCGTGAAGATACTCAGGCTGAGAGTTCGTGCGCGTATTACCACGAAGGCGTCCGTGGCCGAGTAAGCTGACCGGCCTCGGTGTTGCTGTGGCGCCGGCCTCGCACGTAAATAAATCATAGCTGAGCGATTGAGCGCCGAGCGGGTCTGGTCTCCTAAGATGTATGCACCGAGAATCCTCGCCCGTCGTTCCTAGATGTCAGCCGAACACGTCTGGATCAATACTTAATGAACTTGTGCGTGACATTGGGCCGCTGTGCGTGGGAGTTACGTGTGGGAATTACCCGTTTATGCGTGGGAATTAGGGAGGCTATTGTCCTGTTATCTCTGAGTGCGTCGTAACTTCTTTAGTTACGCAAGATTAGTGAGGCATTTGCCTGCTGTGGCTGGTTCTGGCGCTTGCAACAACTGGTCCTGGTAAAACATTATCTTCATAGGCTTTTCTTTTACGTGGATAACGCAGCAGTAAAAAAAAAATTGAAGGACACTTCGTAAATTCCAAAAGTGTGTTTGGCGAAAGCCTGAGGCCATTCGGCTGACTATGCAACGTCTCTTTCACACAGGATATATATATATATATATATATATATATATATATATATATATATATATATATATATATATATATATATATATATATATATATATATATATATATATAATGTGTGTGTGTTTGTGTGTGCCACCCTCGGAATGACGAAAACTCACCGCTATTTCTCTTGTTTTTTCGCTGTGCAGGTGACTCTGCGCAGTGCGACGAACGGCCTATCATCCAGGATGGCGGCATGTCAAGCTATGAGAGGAACCTGTACCTATACCACGTGAGTGCGCTCATTCTCGCGTGCGCGACTGTACGGACATGCTTGCGTTGGCCACCGTCATTGATCCGACACCCGATCTATTGATCCGATCACACTGTCGCGTGCTAACACTATAACACATGTACATACATGTGTTAGCATTTGCCTTGGTGTCCTATTGCATCTCCCATTCATATATAAGAGAGCTTTCGGGTGCTTGGCAGTTGTTTGTTGGCATGTGACAGCTTTTGGGTGGTGATAGAAATATTAACGTGCCGCGCGACAACCCACTTCGCGTGGATGCACGTTGCATGTATATTGAATCAAATGCATGTGCTGACACAATTGCAGCTCCTACTTCTCTTTAAGGCGACTGTAAACGCTTATTGTATGTTTTTGTTACGACTCTTGATGCGTGAAACATTGAATCAGGTGTCATCGCTGCACATGTCGTCCTATTTTGCTACTTGAAAATGTATCTGTGTCACCCTGTCGTCCTTTTAAAGGCCAACACTTCACCTTACAGGGTATTAACTTATTGAGTCGCATGTGTAAAGAGAACAACAGACTGTTGTTCAACAGTCGCTACAACAAGAGAGGACCGGCGTGCGCAGCCTTCCTGCCGACAAATTAAGTTTTTTTTATTGGAGTGGAAACTTATTTTTAAGAATTGGACAAGTTAATTACAAAGCAGCGAAAAAAATTTCTTTAAGTACTGTGTAACATTCGCATTGCCCGCACCACGCTTCTTGTGCGGTCAAGCTTACGCTACAGTTTCGGTTCAGTGCAGTTTTTGAAGACTGCCCAAAGAAGGCGAGTTCTTAATTTGTCCTAGAAGTGTGTTAATAACAAAATTTAGCTCTACATACCGAGTTGGAAGGTACTGCAGCAATGAAATCTACAAGCTATTGAGAACAGTTGGAACTGTGTTCAGAACTCGTCACCTAACCGTCATCTAGTCACTTCAGAAAGGAAGTGCCTGTATAACTCAGGCTATAACATCGCCGTCTCGCGGCGCGCGAATCAGTCAGCTTGTTTACATTTCGCTGGGAGGTTGGTGTGGAACGTACCAGTGCCTGAATGAATTGAGGATGTACACACGAGAAACAGGAGGGTCGTGCTCAATCGCAACGTGTTGTCGCTCATTCGTTGCATAGACACTGAGCATAAAATGCATAACTAAGATGACACCTAAGCCGAAAAACGCCGAAAATTCGTCATGTCGCCATTCATAATTTTTATTTCACCACATGCCTCTGAAATTTACCAATTTGGCTAAATGTAGCCACCAGTGGCAACCCTAGTCGAACCCTCGACCTCTCGCTCCGCAGCACACGGCGCGAAACGACTCGACCATGAACCTTGCGTTCCTCGGAGTATTAACGGGATGCTGTTGGATGCGAAACACTTTAGGGTCGCATGAAACCCGCTGTTGTGGTTCGTTGTTGTTCATAGACGAAGCGCAGGTGCGAAACATCTGCGCGCAATACCGTCTACAGAGCGTACATAGCGCGCATATTGTTAAAAAAAACTTAAAAAGCCGAAACCCCGTACAAACACCTACATTTAACCAATAATCGATCAAAGCATATGACAGAGCGAAAGCTCAACAGGAACACAATACAATTAGTTAACCACAACAAAATAGAAGCCCACGATTCACGATCCGACCCACACAGCTGCTTCACCCCATCGTCCTCATTCGCGTCGTGGATCTGCAACAGTTACTATATGCACCATTTATGGTCGGCGGTATACTCGGAGATTGACGATTTCAGCGTGTTTACGTTATGACTATCGAGATGGCGCGAGAGTGCGCTTTAAAGGTCCGCCCGGTACGATGCGCGCGCTCATCTCGAGGTCCGGGTGGGTTGTGCGTCTTGTGCTTGCGTTGAAATTCCAGAGGGCACGAAGGTCACTCCGCTCGCTGCTGCGGCCGCGTTTGAAAAAGAAGCGCGCTGCTCAGACACAAAGAAGTATGGTTGTGACAGTTGTTAGTTGCGCGTCCCGTGTCCGTTCTTTTCGTACGACCTTTCTGCTTGATCGGGGAGCAGCAAGTTTCAAGCCGATTGCCGTTCTTCGCGTGACGTCACAATGTGTTGATATAAGATTCATTCATTTGCATATCTGTAAATGACGTTATGCTACAGTGTTCGCGCACAACTTGCGTTTCCTTTATGCGAAATATACTTTTTCTAGGTAATTTATTATTTATTTATTTATCAGTTTGGGGGAGTAATTTCATCACTCGAGACGGGCGAGCATAACCATGTTTCAGTCATTGCTACTTTTTCTGGTTCACAATCGAGCAATAAGTTTTCAAATGGCTGTACCTTATTCAGGATACTTCGAGCGTTAATGTTTAGCAGAGTTATTTTTTCTTGTGCTGGTTTTGCCGAGATCCTGGACGGTACGCATCCTTTTTTCTTTCTTCTACGCTCTCGTTCTTTTCTTGGGCTATTTTTTCACGCTTTGTTATTTCAACTTTTTCATTTTTTTTTCGTCATCACAGATGTAAACACTGGTATTAATGAACAGCTTGTTGTACACTAACACCTTGTCTTTGTTTTTACGGTTTTGCTTTGCGCTGTCCCAGAGTTTTTTGCGCGTTTCTCTATGTTTTCGTGAGAAGTCTTCTCCTATCGAATAATCCGTATTTGTCAGCTTGAAGCCGTTTTCGAGTATGGCATTTTTACTTCTTTCGTCAAGTAATTTAAGTATGACTGGCCTCGTCTTGTTTGGTCCAGAGAAGCCGGTTCTCTGGAGACGCCAGCGTCGTGCGATGAAAACAACTAGAGATATGCAAACAACTCTACGGAACACAGCACTTGAAAACAAAAAGGGGCCACGGCATGATATTTATAGATTCCATCTTGGATGCGGTCGCTCCTACGAATGTTAAGCAAAGAACTTCAGGGTGCGGAATTTTTCTTGAATTTTTATGGCTCTTATACTAGAAATGAGCTATTTTCATGCAATTATTTAATTAAGAAAAAACTGTGGCCGTCCAACAAATGTTTTTACTCACAAACTCTCAAAATACCTTTTTAGATGCAATGTTTAGTTGATTGTCATATTCGAACAAGTACGCCGATTATGTTGCTTTGCATCGCGTGTCATCGTCCAGGGCAAAAGGGCTCTAGAAGGCGTTACATAATGAACGGGCCGGAGCTTTCGAGGGAACTTTCCGGTACATTGTTTTCTTCCGCTTCCTTCGCACGACATTCGCGACGATTCTGGTTTGGCTCTCGTTTCATAATTCATTTTCTCCACTTCCGCGTGCTACTGGTCGTTTGCGAAAGTGCTAAATTTCTTTTGTTTCTATAGGGTCAGATTTTGCTACTTCGATGACATGACCAATTCTCAAGAGCATTTAATATGATTATTTTTTTCTTCCATGGAAGAGAAAGTAAAAGGGTTTTGTTTACATCACGGTAGTATGCAGCATAATAGGGCTGTTATCAATAGCCTGCGCTTCCTAAAGGGATCCTGATGGGTTTAGTTACCGTTAATGTCGCTTTATGGCGCTGACACGATTAATCGAGTAATTACGACAGTATTCGCTGTACAAATGAAGTTGCGAAACCGTCCTTTATTACGGGCACAGTGCCTCTGTTGTTGTTGTTGTTGTTGTTGTTGTTGTTGTTGTTCTCTTTTGTTTTTCTCTTGATGCGTGTTCATAGTCTATAAAAGCCTAGCTTCAGGAATGGTTTATCTTTTTTTGTTTGAAATCCGCATTTATAAAAGAGTCTCACTAGAAATGTGAATATAACTAAACTGGTGGTACGTTAGGAAGTAGATAAGAGCAATACTTGGGAGTCTCAAGGAGCAAATACAATGCTTGCGGCGCGGGAAAGTGGGAATTTTAAAAGCGGAGTTATTATGCATGTACCGCGTCCTCGGATGCGAATGCCATTACGGCCCCAGCAGGGCTGCCGTTTGCGAGCATAAGCGGAAGGAGCGGAAGCAACATTTGTGGATATGGTAATACACCGCAAGGCGCACCGCAAGCTCCAGTATACTAAAGTTTAAGGTTCACTATATCAATATCTTAAGATTAAGGTCGTGAGCAGCTCTCACTATATGAATAACAGCTATAGACCGCCAATTCGATAGCCGTAACATGCGCATGCTTTGTTTCTTTTCTGCGTGAAAAGCATAATGATGCACTGCGGTGCGTTGAATCGTGCCGACAGGAGCTCTCGTGGATTCGCACACAGTCCTTTTGTTGGCACCACGTATCGTGAACAGGCTCCCCTGTGAGCTTTGCATGCAGCTCTGTTGTTTCACGCTGAGTTGAGTGTGATGGGGGAAGACAAAATAAAAAAGAAACTGAGTTTCACCCCGAAAAGCGCAGATGCGTATAAATCTGTATAGATTCTAGCTAAGAGAGACACTGTGTATTGGCAACGCGTGTACGTGATCGTGTATTCTTCCTGGGTGACGCAGGAGGAAATGCCCGACCGTCCAAGGGTGGCTACATTGCTCAGCAGCCTGGCCAACTACGAAGTGGCGATCCCGTCTGTCGCGGGAGAAGAGGCCCAGGCTGCTCCCAAGGTGAGTGTGCCCCAGCGGAGGGTCACGTTGCCTTCCTCAGAAGCGACCCGCTGTTTTCGCCAGTATATAGGCGTCGTTTTGCAGTTGACGCCTTTTAGGGGCGAAGCTTTTTATAGCGGCACCCGTTCTTCCCTCGTTGTCGTAGTAGTAGTGTGTAACCAGTCTTACATTTTTACGTCCAAGGTGGTGCCGGTGGGAGATTTATCCTGTGCGTTGTTGAACAATAAAAAAGTCGCAGCGTGTGCGTTAACTAAAAGCCGAAGTCTCCTGTCTCTCATTCCCCCTTAGCAGCCATTGGCATGTACATTGAGCACTATCTGACGAGAAAGGGTTGCTACGTTATACTCGCTGGGCGTAACCTCCTTGGTTTTAGAAAGGTTTAGCGAGCGTTGGGTCGCAGTGCCATGAATACAGTGAACTAGTATATACCATGAGCTCGAGGTGGTTAAAGGTGGGAAGTAGACACCAAGCGCAAGCCGTAAGAAAGTGCGCGTGCGCCTCCTCTCGTTCAGTCCTTGGAATGTCCGCCGGATGGCGGTGCTTGTATATGGGGAATATATGATGAAAAGATGCGAGATGGTGGTACTTGAAGAGTTGAATAGGTGGACGAACGGACACACAGACTGATGCATGGACGGACGCACATATGGCTGCACGGACGGATGAACGCGTGGACGAACGCAGGAGCGGATGCATAGACGAACGCAGGGACGGACGCACAGACGGACGTGCGGACGCACGAACGGACGCACGCACAGACGGGCAGATGGACGCACGGGCGGCCACACAGACGCTCGCATGGACGGACGGAAGCAAGAACGAATAAACGGACGGATGCTTCGCCCCACTCTCCATCATTCACTCCTTGGATATGCTGCCATTTTTTTGCTTACCGCCAGATTTTGCGTAACTCCAATATTCCGTTTGCTTCGCGCACTTAATAGAGGTGTTTAGCAAGCTACGGAAGCACGTTACGGAAATACGACATGGTGTCCCTTCCCGTATGCGCGTACAATGGTTGCGCATGCGCACTCGTCAGATGGTTACGTATTGCCGCCTTTCCGTAACGTGTTTCCGTAGCTTGCTAAAAACCTCTAATATTCCATATCACATAACGTGCCTCCTTCTCGTCCAGGATTTGTGAACAAGATTTGCGAACGGTGAAGGACGAGCGCCGCTGCCTACCGTACTTGCTTTCATGCTACCAGCACTGGTTAACGCCGGCTAACGTTGGCTGCTGTTCGTGAAATGCTTTATAAATGCCTAATGTTGCCTAATGTTGCCTAATGTTATAAATGCCTAAAGTGGCCAGCCGACCGCAGTCAGATTGGTTGTATTGTATTTCGGACTGCGATCTATTTTCGCAACCGTGCCGCGCCAAGACCGTAATTAAGCTGCGTGCGAAGTAATCTTTTACCAGAAAAGTTGCTCGTGCATTTCGTTGTTGTTGTTCATTATCTTGTCTGTGCTTACTCCTGCTAAATAAATATACTCCTTCGGGCGTGTGTCACGTAATATACTTTATGACGAAAAACTAGCGCGACTTATTCAAAGAAGTTTGCGGTAAAAAAAATAATAAGTCGTTCGTTCATCGAGTGCCTTTGCTTTCGAAAGAAGGGTATCTTCTTCCGCAAAGAGTTACTTCCCACCACTGAAACCGATACACTCATTGAGGCCAGTGTAACCTAATACGGTATGCGCAACTATTAACCACTTCATCGTATAGATCCTTCACGAATATTACAAAAAAAAAAAAAAGTCACGGGCGTGCTTTCCAGTTCCCGAAAAAATAGTACAAGCGATATCATCGACCACAATAGCACACTTCCGGCTGCGTAAAATTTCTGTTCATTGCAGCCGCTGGAGAACGATGTACTCGGGGAAATAACAATAAGTTTTCCCCTTGATTTCGGGCGTCGTTAGCGCGATAGTGGTTTGAATTGCTGTGAGTGCCGTACGTTAAAAGTTCGCTTATGCGAGCCGCTCTTTCCTGGTATAGGGCCGAGTATTCGGGTCATTCCAGCGACGCAGTTCGGTCTCTCAGTAGTAATGAACAAATGAACGCGTCTTCACGCTCGGCGACGCTGACGTGCACACTCGCAACATCACCGTCTCGTCGATTGTGACGTACCGTTGCGCCGCCTATAGTCACTGGAATGGTCGAATATCTGGTATACGCTGTTCGCAGCTTCAGCTTGCTTCGTTTTTCTACGCTTTTTTTTCCTCGTTGGGGCTGAGCATGCGTGGCTAAAGTGGGCTGCGCTTATGCAGAGATTGAATTATTCAATCACCCATGCTATTTCACTTTCACGTTGCATATAACGTCCATGAAGCGAGATGGCTCACTGCTGCGTCCTTAGGAGCTCCGATGTTGGCGGGAGGAATGTCATTTCTTTTGGAGCATCGAATTCTATGTTAAAGCGGTCGGAGCACTGAACGACACCCCCTATATAGAACAAGACGTCGGACAGTCTCCGTTGTAATCGCTTTTAAGATACATAAGGTAATGTCATATCAATGTACAGTACAACTTTTGAATAATTGTAGTATAGTGCGTCTTTGGGCCTATCTGCTGGTATCGAGGGCATAAAAGAAAAGAAGATGCAGCGCGTATTTTATGACGGTTTTGGGTCGGATGTCATATAAATATATGAGAGAATTGGGTTACTTTATAGGCACAATCGTTAAGAGATACGGTATTTACGCGTGGCATTGGGCCTGTTTATGTGGCTTTAAACTGTTTCAGCGTCTGAATATAAAGGCCCTAATTTACGTATGTTTAATGCCGACAGAAATGCGCCGTAATATCTGTCTCGACTTACCCAAGTGGCCGTTATATACTGCAGTGTCAGGAACATACTCATTAGAATTTAGGTGTCTTTGGCAGACTATTGGCCTCGAGGACATACCCTGGCGCCACCTACGTGATGACGTCATTCATAGGATGCCGGGTTGACTTTGTCTGCTACAATACCGCATTTCCAGCGCTTTTGCTGTGGACACCGTTCGTGCTTTCGTTTGTTTTGAAGCTCAGTGCTTAAAGAAGCGGGAAGACTTGAAAAAACGGACAAGCAAACTACGAATCGGTGCCCCCGGTGCACTCTCGTGTCTAATTTGCATCATAAAATTGCGACTAAGAACCAGTGCAGCCATGGGGGACGATGCAAGTGGTGTCGAGAAAGCAAAGCTGCTGTACGTGTTTCACAACTATACGCATCCTATCTGTGACGTCAAAACGATCGCAGCGCTGGCCTCTCTAGTGGAGGCCCTCGCGGCTAATAGCATAGAGTCATGTGCTCAGGCACAGCGAAATGAGAAGCATGCATAATGCTTTCCGCGAAGCCGCATTTATTCTTAAAAGAGCGCTGAAAGCTCCGCCCCCGTTCAAATGAGCGGCTGCCTTGGTCTTCGCCGCTCGCGATCAGTTGGTGTTGTGAAACTTTCATCGCACGCCTGGAAAACCGTGTCGTGCGCCTTGCGTTTCGCCCTATATGTAGCAGTGGGACTTGATTCATGGAGGTCCGCATTGAGCCCTATAATTAAGCGTGTTCCACATTCTTCCGCTGCGCATTTCCGGGTGCCAGAGCTCTACATCCGCCGTGGTATAATACTTAAATGACTGCGCGGAACCGTACTCTTGCTTCGTATCGAGCGACAAAGCGCGAAAAGAAGTTCGCTGCCTCTGCGCTGCTTTGCATACCCGCGGTGGGCTGCGCAGCGCCGAGTGCAAAAGTGGCGAGAATTCATTTGCATGCCGAAGAGCCGCTGCCGTTTCAGGTTCACAGCGATTTAAGCTGCTTCTCGCGGGGCGCAAGAAAGTGGATTATACCGCTCGTACCGTATACACTCCGTGTTTCCTGTCTGTGTGTTACTCAGTCGAGCATTTGCTGACCATGTGCGCAGCATGCCGGGGCATTCGGGCGCGTCCTGTCTGTGCTCAGACGCGATTTGTGGATACAACTAATGAGTTAGTTGCTGATCAGCCGAGTTCGCTACGCACTATTTTGCATCGAACGGGGGGCTCTTATTGAAGCTGCAGAATAAGTTTTCGCTTCGCCAAATGCTGGGATCTGTCGCAGAACCTTAGCAGCAGCGACGCTTCTCTATACTAGCCAGTAAGGGGAGCACTTCAACAGGCCGTTCTGGGGAATGTGAAATGCAAAATGTACTCGGGTTTAAGCACGTGTTAAATGACTTTGCACTTCCGACACTAACGAGACGCCAGGCAACCATTATGTCCAGCTGCATATAAATGTAATTTGTATACATATATGTTAGCATCGCGCCGGCTGAGCGTCCGATTCGAGTGCGTTATAGCGGAACCTGCATGGATGTCATTAAAGGTGTCGTTAGGCATGCAGCTCTGTTCATGTTCCTGTAGCATTCTTTCGTGGAAACATGATTTAGGTTGAGTAAGGCGTGAGTGAAGGATGATGGATGCACGGTAGTGTGCAAAGTTCGTGAGCCTGCACGTGAGAGGGAGCCTACATATCATGGGTGATTCACAATACGTTGGCGTTGTGTTCGTCATTCGTTCCAGCATCCTCGAAGTTTGGCCACAATCAAAATGACGGTTACAGCGCTGACGGAATCCTAATGACGTTTACGTGTTTCTCTTTCGTTGATAATATAGTTTCTGCTATTAACCTTGTTGCGTCATTGCAGTGTCGAACTTATGAATAGCTCAGAAATAAGTAAAAATAAAAGGAAAGCTCGTTCGAATGAAGCTAATGAGGCTGCAACTATGCCCACGCAAAGGGCAGGGCTCATCAGAGCTGCATTCCGCGACGTCTCGCACACGTGATTCTGTGAGCGTCCGCCGTCCTTTGGAAAAAACTGGGTGAGGGGGTGGAGGGGAGGGCAGGCGTTGTGACGTCAGGTTTAGCGCCGATTTTCTCTCAATTGGTATAGGTATTTCTTTGTTGTGTTACAAAAGGGATGGAGTGCTATATAGTTGAAAAGGAGGGAGCCTCGGAGCGTCACCTATAGATGACATCGTG